CATCCTTCTGTAACTTGCCTGTAAACACCAGGGGACTTCAAAAAGGTTATAGGGAAAAACGGAATGAAAACATCATGGGGTTGAGGATCTTGTCTGTGAATCTCCTCCACTCAATTCACGAAAAAAATAAAAGAAAAAGATTACGGGATTTCTCCACAAACATTTTAAAGTCCCCTCATGTATTCAGCCTGAAAAAGCAAACTACACTATTCTTCTTTCTTACCTGTGAATTTCTGTAGGCAGTACATGCAACAAATGAATTAAAACATTGCAGATCTATCTATTTTAAGAAGGTTGCGTAAGTTATAAGAAATGATATGCTGAAAAAATTGTATTGTCTGATCATGAACACAAGTTAAAGACTCAGCCTTTCGGCTACATACCTCCCCCGAAACCAACTTTTAAGAAATTTAAACAGGACATCGTGAGAAGCTCAGGTGACAAAAAAGATTCTGTTTCAGATTCTCTGACTCACCTTGTTCAAAACTGTAGTAATCCTAGAAGCTTTGCATAGGCATTGAAACACAGTCAGTTTTCTTACAGATGGCATTCTGGGGGCTCTGTCTTCAGAACAGAATGATGTTAGAATCTCCCCAGTATGAGATACAAAAGCCAATTACCATCGGCTACCTCTCGGTAGCAGTCCAAATCAGTCTAAGTCAAAGCTCTTCTGTTACGTATATCTGGCCACTGTACAAGGGTTAAATGTTCTGAAACTTTAAAAAACTAAATGTAATTGTTATGAAGAAGTTTCTGCTCTTTACTGTTTGCACAAACTTTGCTCATTTCTGAATTGGAATGGTAGTGGTTATGTGCCGTGGAGTCAGTTCTGACTCATAGTGACCCTGTATAGGGTTTTTTGAGGTTGTAAATCTTTACAGGAGTAGACAGCCTCATCTTTCTCCCGTGGAACAGCTAGCAGTTTTGAACTGCTGACCCTGAAGTTAGCAACCCAACTCATAACCACTACCAGAGCGCCATATTTAAAACCTGAATCCCATGCAGGAGGTAACATATTGGTTCTTTAAGACACCAAACAAGTGATCTAGCAGAAAAATTAACTTGTGCAAAGTTAAATAAAAAAAATGAAAACTGTCAGAGACCATAACACATAAAGAGATTACACCCACTCTTCACTGATCGACATGGTTAGGTTTCAAAGACCAAGTTTATTGCAAACAGCAGCGCTTTTATAAAATTCCTACCTGCTGTCTTCTGCATTATCTCCCTGCAGACAGACTTCAATGACGCCCAGGCAGCGGTGGTAGTAGAAGAAGACCCCATAGACCAAAGTTCCCAACTCTCCCTGGTTCACAGAGCTCTTCTACTCCGGTGACCTTACAGAGTACAGAGTATTCTCCCTACCACCCTGGAGTCACAACCTTCTCCTCCACCTGTACCTCTAAGTCCTGTGCCCCTCAGGGCCCCCTTTCTTTCCTGGGGCTCCTTTCTCCTCCAGGTAAATGTCCAGAGTAGCCTGAATCACTTGTCCCTCTGTACCCCAAGCAGCCTTTGCTTCTGTACCCCTAGGTGCTCCTCCCCATTAAGCCTGAGGGGCTGGGGCCTCCCTATCAGCTAGACTCTCCCTACACACAGGAGCCGGGCTCCATGTCCCTTGGTTGATGTGCCCAATACCTGCCCAGTACTGCTCCCCTTGTTTCCAGGAACTTTTGCACTTTTTTCCTTGTTCCCCAGGAGCTGCCCCTGAGTCCCTGAACTCTGACAGCTGCTCCTGCTACTGCAGCAGCCTGTGTGGTCTCCCCTCTTCCTCAGCTCCTGCACTCTAGTGAGTACTTCCCTCACTCACCCTTCTTCTGCATAGTGGGGCTGCACCCGCCTTTCTACCTGGTACTGTTGGGAAGAGGGTGCAGTCTGCAGAGTCTATAGCACCTCTGGCTGACCTACAGTCGAGACCAGTACACTTCTGTACCCCTAGGGCCACCCTATCCTTGTCCTTCACAGCCAGTCTCAGCTCGCTCTGTTCCTCTCTGCCAAGTTTTAGCTCACGGAGCTGCTGCGGGTCACAGATGACAGTCCCGATACATCACAGTAGTTGCTGCTCCCACAGCATGGTCTGAGCCCACAAGGCTCCTCCTGTGTGGCCCCGGCTGGCCACTACTGTGCCTGGCCTAGCTCACTCAACTGACCCCAAGGCCCTATGGATTGTTCCCTCCAGTTCCTTTCACCCAGCTCCCCAGGAAAGTGGGCCTGGACCCACTCTAGCATTGCCTCCAGGTGTGCACACCAGCTGCGGGCAGTAGAACTTTTGTTACCATCAAAAATGTGAAATGCCATATGACAAGCAGCTCCAGTCATGATGTGAGTAGGTGCGTATATAATACACAAAAAGTGAATGCACACCATACTAACATTGTGTTTAAACACAGTATCTGGCCAAAAGAAATATATTTGTGCTTTTAAAATTCCATGCCTGAAGCTCAATATTTAAAGGTATGTATTTTAAAGACACTTATATGAGACATAATTATGGAGGGTAATGGTAAGATAATGGATAAAGTTGGAAAGACAAGCTCAAACATGGTTAGCCTTAAGTTTTTTATCTGAAAGAGAAGACTTCATTTTGAGTAACCAAAGTTCAACTGTTATTGTCCATAAATGCTGTTGAGTTGGTT